TTGTGAATTTTGTGCTATTTTATTCAGCTCTGCAAAAGGATGTGTAATTTCAGTGATGGGGGGGATCCAGCAGCAGGAAATTCCCACCATTCCCACTTGCCTGGTGTGCAGTTCAAGTGCACATGGCTCATGGCCCATCTTCGACGTGCTACACCATGTTTTGCTTAGGCTTCACTGTGGGCTGAGACAGGTAAGCACTGACAGACCTGGTTGAAGTGGTTTCCCACCTGCTTTGGGAACATCTGAAATGCCTCTAGAAATGGACTTCTGCCTCTAGAACCATGCTTTGTTTCAAACAACAACATTTGTTGTTACAACACAAAAAAATACTCTTCTTTTAGTAGGGTTCCTGTTCTCTGCATGGTGGGATTAAAATACATGTTATTTAAGGGTAAAGCATACCTCATGTTAGGTATGCATGGGCAAATATTGAGAAAAATGTTTTCAAAGCTTAACAAATGTTAGTGCAGCAGAGTTCCTAAGTTACTTGGTTTGTCTTGAAAATAGTCCCCAGGGTTTTCTGTTTGGACTTTAACAACATTTTCTTTAACATGTTAGGTATTTTGCCTATAAATATGTGTATTTCTATATAAATGTGTATCATTCTATATAGATGTAATCAACCCCACTCCATCCCTCACAGCATGCATGGGTAAGGAAAAACAGCCCAAGGGGCTGCACATTTTACAGACCATGTTGACAGAGGTTGGGCTCTTTGTCAAGAATGTGGAGTAGGCTGTTTCAGTCTCTGACATCTGACTGTCTCGTTCTCATGCAGTCTCTCAGTGTAACTCACCTTTATTCCTCTCTCCCAATTCTGTTGACTGTTTACAACAAAATGTTGGCATCCAGCTGCTCAGCAGCAGCATGTATTTCTTGTCCAGCTCCAGGGGTGAGACTGTGTGACAAACACACTGCTCAACCAAAAGAAGACAATTGCATGCGTAATGGTCAGCATTTGTAGCTCGCTAGGTATCTTCTTGACAAAGACAAAAATCCTCTTTGCCAAGTTCATGGGGGTGGAAGAAAAGGTCAGATAACTCCTTGGCCTTTAGTGCTTCTGTCATTATGGAAAGGTATTCTGTGAGATACGTTCAGTAATATCTGCCTGTCTGAAGAGCTGTACAGCTTCTGCTAATGTACTTTGTAAATGCCTATACTTGGACGGGCAGGTCTCTTTTCCAGCTTGAAGACTGGAGTTTTTCAGCTGGTCCTTTTTTCCTGGTGTTTGCCCCAGACTTGCCCATTACTGAAAAAAAAAAGTTGTACCATCCTATGGCTCACTGAATTTCAGAATACCTCTTTCTGTGATGTTTGTTTCTTTCAGGTATTTGTGGATTTCTACTCTTTCCTGATACTTTTAAACATCCCTTACCCCAAATAACGTGTTTAACTTTTACTTATAATTATCCCTTGAAGTTTCCTCTCTCTCATCAATACCAGAATACCATACTTCCTGAACTACCTACTGGCCACCTGCATACAACAGCTACACCTTTTACTCAAAAGCAAGCAATGGATCACTGGCATCCTTACCAGAAGTTTAAAAATAGACAGACACAATTACTGTAGCCTGTATTCTTAGGGAAAGATTTGGGAAAGTACACAGTTGTGACTCAAGTTAGTGATGTATATTTGACTCCACTAGTTAAAACTCCACTACACAAGTACTTTTTAACCCACCTCAGCACTGAACTCCAATCCCAGAAATTGGCTTTTTATCATTTACAGTGTCAGGATAAGCAGTCTTTGCCCTTTAGACTGTCTTTAAGAATAAGAATAGATTATGTTATTTCTAATAAGAGGTCCTGCTGCTACAGCAAGCTTCACTCTACTTACCTCACTTAGGGTATTGATTAGATGCCAAAGCCATTTCCTTATTTATGTGAATCAGCTGAGAAATGGCAGCATTGACAATGAGTGTTCTATGTACAGCTCATCATCCTGAAGTGCTGTAGTTTTTTGTGTGTTATGATCCATAACCCAATTATAGGCTACTTCATTTTTCACGAGTACAAGCTTACATGTGCCCATACACATCTACATGGGGTTTTTTTGAATGTAAACACTCTCAGTACAGGCATTTCCTTCTCAAAATATTGCCTCCTGTTGCTGTTGGAAAATAAATATGTCCCATATGCCATCCTAGAAGTGGTTAGGTTTCTGGAAAGAGTGAGATGACCATCTTTTCATAGGATCATGACAAGGAAGAGCTGTGAAGGCAGAAGAGTCTTTTAAATTTTAATCACTAGAGTAGAATTGACAAACCTGGAATTCTTTGTTCTACATGTAGACTTCTTGCAGATTTCCAGGGAGTTGGTTTTGAAATATTCTTTTTTTTTTTTTTTTGAAACACCAAAGCAACTTAGAATCACTGGTCATAGTAAAAATAAATGGATTTAGCACCCTAAGGCACAAAGGCAGAGAGAATCTCAGGGAAAAATGAAAACCTTCTGGGAAAAAAAACATTATGGAAAATCAATTGGGTTCATTTCACCTAATGTTGTCTGTGCAAAATGCTGTCTGAAACCAATGAAGAGACACAGAGGGGAATTCAGTCCTTCTCTCCTAATGCTCTACACTCTGCAGTCACAGAATGCTCCTTGAAGTCCTGTTTCTCTGAACTCCATGGGAGTGATTCAGATCCTTGTCAAAAGCAATTAGTGACATTTTAGGTGCCCTAAAGATCCTGCCTGCCCTTCCACTGCTTCTTCACGTGTCCTGGGTCTCTTGCAGGTCCTGTGTCACAGCTGGCAGTACCATGTATGTCTCGGGTGCCCTGGATAGTGTTTGGACAAGGTAGCCTGTCTCTTGCTACTGGTTGAAACTAAACACTTCACTTTTAGACACCTTAGTACCATTGAAACATCTAATGTTACAGCATTAAACCCATTTAATTTAAGAGGATGCTGTCAAGGTCCTGCATTTTATCTTGAGCTCATGGTCGCTTGACCCCACAATAAGCCAGTTCAGGTTTTGACCTGTCCAGTTCAGGTCCCTGCTGCCCTGCAGGAAGCCTCAAACGAACCCCAGTCTCTACAAGGAGGTGAGTGGGACTCTGGAAATACAGCCAGGTTCAGAAGAGAGAGAGAGACTCCAGCAACACCAACTCAGAGCAGCTCAGACTCTGTAAAGTGGTCAAAAGAAAAGCAAAGCTGAAGTTGTCTTTTTACAGAGTGGTAACAACATAAATGCTATGCCACCGTTCATGCCACCCATTCTCTTCCCCTTCTTCCCAGTTCCAGCAGAAGAGGCTGAGTTGGTTGTCTTCACAGTTTATTTTGTGTTAACTTCTCTCATTCCAGTGGCAGGAGAACCAGGCCTTATTTCATTGCCAAACACATTCTATTTTATCTACCACAAGAAGAACCATTGTGAATATACTTTACATTGACCAATACCAAAGCTAGGGGGTTAATTTTCACAGACTCAGTTGTATGTTTTGATTCTGGCCTGTGGACTGTGCATAAAGATAAGCTCTGAAGTCACTCCAAAAGGGAATAGGTGAGTAGCTTTATCTTTTCCAAGTCTCTGCTTGTTAAATGTTTCCTGGATGCAATGCATAGTTGCCTTCTAAAGCTAAGGGTTAAACATCATCAAGGAATGTCTCTGATCTGTCAGAGCAAGAGGAAAAGAGCAGGGAAAATGTAAACTTCACATTGAAGTAAATGCAAGTAGAATCCTTTCTGCTGCCTAGGGTGCATCATGTATGGCCTTTTATAAAGGATAGAGGTTTAACAGCAGCTCCCAGCCATCACAAGAGCTGCATGAGGCCAAAACCTGAACTTCCCTCTCATTTCTTGCATCTATACCAGAATGAGCTGCAGCTAATGCCAGTTCTGTATATTCAATGACCAATTCTGTCTGGCATGAACAGAGAACAGATCAATATCCCCTCAAAAGCAGGAGAGCAATTGTACCATCTCTAACAGGGTGCTTCAGAGCAGTCTTCACAGAGACAGGGAAAAGTTCATAACAAGCCTTAGCAGTGCCCATCTGCACACTCCTCATTCAGACTCCACATACATGAGCCAGTGTTTGCCACACGTATGGGCTGACCCGTATTTTCTTTCTGAGGCTGTCACAGTAAACTTTCTATTGGCCAATCTTCTAATGAGAAAATTTCTAACTCCCTGTTTGCTTTGCTTCTCCTTCTGCTCCCCTCTCCCATTTTACAAAGGAAAAAAATGAAGGAGGAGAGATAAAAACCCTAGTTGCAGAACCAGCAAGGCTAGGCATCAAGCATGATGAGCTCTTTGCCTGAGGACCAAACCCACTCTCTATGACTGCGATGAGTCCGCAATCACGTAGAAGCAGCTTATGGAAATGGCTTTTATTCTTCCTGCCTTTTTTCTGTTTACAGCTCCGCCACTTGATCTATTCAAGCCCATGACCTGGGCTTTTACTCCAACCAATCCATGAGACAAGAAAGTGTTACTGACTATTAGGGGTTGGGGATTTTTTTGGTGTTTTTTATTCAGCTTTGTGTTTTCACTTGTGTGTAAGAAAACTAGATGCAAGGGATCATTAGAGAATCAAACAAGAGACTGCATCCTCTAAATGTACGCTAGGCATAACCTTAAACTAGTGACACTGGACAAGTCGCCTTTTTCTTGATGTTGTCATGTTATGACTGGAGAGTAATTTACTAACTTTTCCAACTCCTACAATGGATAGCAATCTGATATATGTTAGACTATCCTAGGTAAACACTCGCCATCCATATTAATACCTGCTTCTGGCTGTGGTTATCGATCATCTAGCAAGAAAGTGACGTATTGCAAATGCACAGGGCTGATGCTGATGTATTCAGAAGGTATTCACCTGGCTAATGCAGTGCATCTCCAAGTGTATCCATCTTTCAATCATTTCTCTGTCTTCCTGCAAGACTACAGGTTTCCCTCAGGAGTCATCAGACCTTATACTTCTCCATCTACAGGGCTGACAAGAGATCCCTTTAGACTACTCCGCCCTGCCACAGAGGGGGAGGGTACCTTCACTCTGAAGATTTAAAAAGGGATCCCCAAACCTGTAGGAGATCTTGTGACACATTATTCCAAGAAAAGAAGACTGAAGATTTGCCACTGAACTAAATATGAAGGTGAGTGAGACTCTTCTGGTGTGTGGGAGACATGTAGTTTACAGTTTATGCTTTTTCATGTGGGTATAATATTTAGGAACTGCAGGAGGCTTAATTTTAATTTTGAGATAACCTGAGAGAAATATACACGTAGTTATATTCAGTGTGTTAGAAACAACTGCATTAAAAAACATTAATAGCACATTGTGCTCTCATAAACAAGATGCAATAAACCACTGTGAATCATAATGTTAGATGATCTCTGTTGACCATCACTGCTATCAATACATGAATAACAACATGGTCTGTGCGAACAAGCAGAGATGCAACTTGTTTGCAGAGGATTCATGTTCAATGCTTTCATTTGCATGTGCTGCATCAGTGAACAAACTCCAGGCATCAAAAAAAGCCTGTCTCGTGACATGTGTGTAATCATGGTTGATACAAATAGGATGCTAAGTTTAAAACCTTTCTTTTCCTGAGGAAGTAGTGATCCACTCTCCTGGTTTGTTTGTTTGTGTGTTTGTTTGGAATGACAAGTCCCCTACATTTGCTTGTTGTCTAAACTAGGTCTTGTAAGATCAAGATATATTGTCTTTCCCCCTTAGTTTGTACATATGTCTCATTTCTGGAGGATTCTTGTAAATAGGAGCGCAAAAGGTGCTTGCCTTGATGGCAGTTCTCACCGGTATGAAACCTTTATAATGAATATGACTAGAAAGAATAAAGTACATTTGATTTAACATTCATCCTCCCATCAGATCACTGTGTATTGAAGCTGAAATAGCCACTGAGCAAGAAGAGGTTTTGTAGCAAGACAGGAAGAAAGGAGTGTCTGGAATATTCTCACATTTAGATTTGGAGCTGAGAGGATCTACAGCTCTGAAAGGCTTTTCCTGTACCTTGTGGTTCTTTGTTGTGCACAGGGACTGTGTAATCTGACATCATCTGCAATGGCACTGTTCCTGGCAGCATCCTTCATAGCTTTCTCCTGGAGTGCACCTCAGGTAAACTGCTCACACAGCATGAATGTGCAGCATCCATGAATCTCACAGGTTGGTTCTGTTTAAGTAATGACATGCAGTGCTGACATGTCTCTTTTCTCTTTCTTGGCATAAAGGCTCAATTCCAAAGGAGAAACTGGACTCCTCAGGCGATGCTCTATTTGAAGGGTGCACGTAAGTCCCAAACTCACTCTGTTTTGAGGAGATAACTTTGTCTACCATTGGATTATTCCCGATCCTCTTGGCTCCACACAAGCAGTAAACCCCTAAGGATGCTGTGGAGGTAAAAGTGCTGAGGCCTGCAGGGATGTGCTAATTAGTTATTACTTTTGTCACTGAAACAGTGGCATCACCAGTATTACTATTTTTTAAAGAAATCAAATTGAAGAAAGCAAGTGCTGGAAAGAGAAAAGCAAAACAAAGTACTGAAAATGTATAGAGTCTGAAGCTTGGTTGTAACACCTATTGGAAAAGCAGCTTCCTTAGCTGAAATAATCTTAAAGGGGGGTTAAGAGACACAGATATAGTTATCATTCCTTACTCTCACTCAGGCTTTATTAAAGCGTCTCAAGCAAGAGGAGAACACACATTCCTATTACTAGCATCTTGCATTAGAGTTGGTATTAAGACCACAAGCAACCTCTTCTGAGGAGAACCTGGATGTCAGTGTTCTGAATATTGTGGTGTTAAGGCTGTGCAGATGATCTTTTGAGTTTCTACTGTTAGTCCAGATTTAAAGAAGCATTAAATATAAAGATAAAATTTAGAGCCAAAGAGAGATTTTGTCCTCTGATGAAACCCCACCAAATTTAACAGAAATATTTGTATTTTTAAAAAGACCCTATTCTGAATTGTTGTTTCAAAATTAAAAGCTATCAGACAGGGCAAGGTAGGGTAGTAAGTGATCAAGAAAAATAGCTTTCTTTAAATTAAAAAAAAAAAAAAAAATTGAAGCTCACAATCCTGAGAGAAATGCAAAAGGGAGACAATACAAATAACAACAGAAAATAGAGACCCAAAACAACTGTAACCAAAGGAAGTTCTAGTGACATTAATAAAATCATTTCTATTAATAAAAGCAAAGAAATAGGCCCTCTTTTCTTTTGTTTAAATCTTCCAACTGAATAATGCACTGTTACTTCTATACTTACCTGTTTATCGTTCTTATTGACGCAGAGTAATGTGATTTTTTTTTTTTAGGTTATTTTTCATTTTTAAAATAGAAATATCCCTTTAAGACGCAATACTTTATAGTCCAGCAAAGAGATTGAAGGCTTTTGATTGTACAGAAGTCATAGAAAGATTGAGGAAAAGACAGTAGTTTCCTCCCTATGTACTGTTCCTACAGCAGATTAATACGAGTATAAAAAGTGCTGAAACACCACTTCTACGGAATAAAGTACGTCTTCAGTGGTTCAGTTTAGGATGGGCTATTGCTGATTTGGAAAGATCCCAGGATGGATTTATGCCTTCCATTTTGTGTTTGCAGAAGTATTGCTGTAATTTTGTATTTTTAAAAGACTAATTTAGGGATGTAAAATAGGAATTATAGTGTTTGCTAGGTTGTTTTCCCCCTTTTCCCACTGCTTTTGTAGAGGGACGTCGATTCATCTCAGATGAGAACCAGCGAAAGGATCTGTTTGACAGAATGCATCTTGGTAAGTATGTGTGCCCAGTTGTACATAACACCTCAGTCTTTGCTCAGATTATGGGAGAAATACGTGGAAACTTGAGGGGATTTGTTTTGCTGGAATTATATTCAAGGAAGCCATTAAACTCCCTTTTGCTAGCTCTTTCATTCCAAAAAGTACAGGATAAAGACCATCTGACTTTCCTCTCTTGTGTACCACTGTGATTTCATTTATATAAGTGATGTTCCAGACTGACCTGGCTGTTAAGTGGGATTATCATCAGTACCTTTAACTTCCTTTTTCCACTGGAAAAAGTAAATTCAAATTATTAATTGTGCTGAACTGACAACAGTAAACAACATAAATCTGTGCTAGACAATGTTTCTGGAGGAAACAGAGCAAAGTAAGGAACATACGAAAAAAAGAAAACGTTCTTTTTACCTTCTAAGGGACTTTAAAACAGCCTCCTTTTTAAAAAAGACTGCCAGTCTCTTCTGTTTTAGATATTTATCAGGCTGGTTTTGAGCAGATAATGTTACAGAGCAAAGGAGACAACAGTTTTGTTTTTTTTTTCTTTGTGTCACTAGTTATAGAGATAAAAAAGCAAAGAACAAAATAAATAAATGCCAGTAAGCACTAACAAACCATACATCTCTGATTTTATAATTCTAGAAACACGCAGCCAAAACACAAATCCTTTATCTCTTTCTGAAGCTGCAGCAGTGTTCCTTAGTTCCTTATGGAAAGCACAAGAAGAAGGTAAATGCATGTTTTGTCTTACCCTGCCTTTTTAATAAAGGGTTCATAAGTATTTCATTTACTAACGATTTAGTAAATTGATCTAAAAGGTTAAGATCTCGTTTGAAATGAGATATTATTCCACAGAGTGCATTGTGTTAGAGTCTACATTTACACTGTGTATTGCATTAGGGTGTACGTTTACACAGATTAGAACATGAATCAGATAAATGATAGTAAACTTTAATATATTCTGCTTTTAATTTGCTTTTCAGATTTTTATTGGTTTAGATTCAAGGGAATGGCTATTTTGAATTGAATTTTCGAAAACAAAACTCTACTGGGGCTTCTTTTTCTGAAGAATATTATTTGCTTGTGAAATTTTTATCCCTCCATTGGCTCTTATGTCCTGGTGTAAAGGCTAAAAAGAATCCTAAAAAGTCCTAGCAGAGGAACTGTGGGATTCACACCTGACTCTTGAGACCTTTACCACTGGCACAGCTGACAAGGGGTCCCAGTCACTTTTAGAGGCAGAGCCCTGAAATATCCTGAAAAATCCCCTAATTAATTTATGTGTTCCCAGCCTTCAAAAAATATTGTCTAACCCTCCCATCTCTATCCTCACTACATGTTACATGCTTCTGGTTCTCACTTCAAAACTTGGAACCCTCGTCTCCCTTCCATAGCACCCCCCAGCAAAACCCAGCTACTGAGTCAGGCTTAAATAACTTGTGTTTCCTCATCTCCTTCACACATACTGCACCCTCTTAGATGAGGGCCCGTATCCTATGTTCCCCAACTCCCCCACCCTGCTGTAGTTCACCTTTCCTCCCTACACCGTCTTTCCTGCAAAGCCATTATCCTGAACACCTCATGATCTGATGCATACATACAGCTCACCAGGCTGAGACCCTAAATCTATGCTATCCATGTCCTCTATCTTTCTACCTTTCATCTCTTGAGGTACATAGATTGGTTTTGGAAATGGAGCTGGGAACAGGGAGGTTGTAAAAGGAGTATACACCCTGCAGCTTGTGGAGATTCTGTGCTGTGCTCTGGCCCCTGCGTGCTGGCGAGGCTGTTGTAGCATATACAAGCCCAGCAGTTAGAGTTATGCTCTACCCCTCTCTGGTTCAGGACAGGTAGGAATAGAAGGTGGATAGAAGATACCTTTGTCTCTTATTGTCCTGGTTGTGAGTTCCTTATTCAGACTCTTAATTTCTGTCATCATGACAGGAAGAAAAAGCACTTTAATTAGGAATGTGAAGTAAACCCTTAGTAAAATAAGAGGTAGTTTGTACCTTTCACAGATGAGTGGTAAGACAGGCCTGTTACTGCCTCATCACCTTTGACATCATCAACTGTGTGTGATAAGTAACTGCCTTCCCATCACTGTGATATCACCTCTCTAGATAACCTAGATTTGGTTATCTAAAGTACACACCTTTCCTGAAATGAAGAGAGGGTGTGAGAAACACCTCACAGAATTTACCTGGTGTATGTGCAGATATGCTGGAACCACTCCTGTCTTCACCACTTCCTGAAAGCTCTCACTGTACCTCATGCAGCGCTGGGGATCTGTGCTCAGCTCTCTCTTCCATGCTCTGGTAGAATTTTGCTAACCAAAAAAATTCAGTGGCATTTTGGCTGAAAGGCAGAATTAACAATGAGCATAGTGCTTTGGACAAAATATATGATCAATTCTAAAGATAAATCAGTGAAAGTGTAATATGTGTGCTAACAAAAAGAGAAAATCCTCTGAAGTTCACTATTCACAAATTTTAGTGGTATTTTCCTGCCTGCTGTTGCTGTTCCAGGGGAGACAGTGGACAGCAACAGCCCCTTGAGAAAAAAGGTGACATATCTGAGAGTTAAACAGAACTGACAGTTTGTTTGAAAAACACTACGTGGAATAACACTGCCATCGTTTTTCTAGGGAGTAACAAGACAGTGAAACCTGGGTAAGACATGCACTTTCAGAAGATCACTTTCAAGTGATTTTAGAATCCTCCTGACTGAGAGAAATGTGCAAATAACGAACAAATAAACTATTTTCTTCTGCATGAAAAATCTGTGCCTTGTACTAAGATACCCCTCTGGACATGGTTTGTATCTTTGCTCTTCACCAAACAGAAAAAATCCCACATTTAAAATGAGAGAAAACGTTATTATTTTTACAGATGCCTGCATCTCTTAGCTAAGCAGTCATGTTATACTAGGCCTGTGCCTGAGACACATCTATCTTGTGAAAACTTTGGCTGACTGAACTTTCCTTTATCTACAGTTTATTTTTCCCCATTGTGTCTTGTCTTACAGTTGAAGAAGAAAACAGTCATCACCCTGGCTACTTGACAGATAATCTATCAAATTGGTGAAATACTTCAAATTCCTTTAACATTTGTATGGCATATACCCTGAAATCATGACTTGTGTAAACAGAGTATTTAAGTTCCCAAAGGATGACATATATATGCATTGCAAAATTTTGAATGCAAATGGATTAAAAGCTACTAGCTCAGATAACAAAAGTATTTGTAAAGTTCCTGCTTTGTTTAGACCATTTTGTGTGTCCCACCCAAAATTTAAAATACACTGTACCGTTTTACCCCAAAATATGATTAAAACTGTCTTTTTGGACAATGACTTCATTAAAAGCAATTTTTCAGTAGTCACTGTGAAACCTTTTGCCGCCTGCCACCCAGCTATATACTGAAGCCTTTTTATTTCTGATAAAGGTAGATTCCTTCACCACTTCACTGCTGGGCCTGTAGGTTGCTGATGGTCAGTAAAGTAAATGAGATATTAAAACAATCCAGCCATCTTTGACTGCAAAGCCAGTGGTTCTTTTTTTGCAGATATCTTTCACCACAGAGAACAGGCAACAGCACTTTCTTAGACCTCAATGCTGTCCTGTTTACATGCATGCTGAAACATACTCTGAACAATCCTACTGAGCAAGTCCCACCACATGAAGATAGTATGGGGATGGGTCTTACAGGATCAGGGCCTCATTAGGACTATTGGCATACAGTCACTACTGATGTCAGGAGGTGCAGCACTGCTGGAGTACACTGGTGGTCTGCTAGGTACAAATCTAGTGTCACATGGCACGACAACAGGCAGACAGAATATTATTTGCATCGTTATTGTACTTTTTTGTTGGCTTGTTCTTTGAGCTGCAAAACTGGAATTATACATAAATTGGTTATTAATTATCATTCCATGCTGAAAAGGATATATTTAACATTATTTATGTAGTTTTGTGGTCTTACTGGAGAGCACTCCGTAGTTCTCATGTCATTAAAAAGTAACCACATGATGCTTATTTCCAAGCAACTATGTTTTATTTTTTTAATCTTTAACCCTAGTCATGCTCTTCATCTTATAATGCTACTTACCTCTGATCTTTCTCATGACACTGCCAATTAATTTTAGTAACTCATACGAAATATAATGTTGCTTCTCAACACAAAGAGATGTAGCTGAAGAAACAGAGGCATTAATTTCTATCATGGGACTATAGGTACTTTCAGTAATTGTTTACAATCTATATCATTTCATGGATGAACATAACTAGAGAAATCAAAATGTTCTTGTTTGGTGATTTTTAAGCACTGATATATCTTTCAATAGCTGTATATGTTGTATGGCAGAATGCATTCATGATGAACTTCATATAAGGACCAATGGTATCCGCCAGAATCTTTTCATTAATTTAATTGTTCTTGGTTTCAAGCCTAACGTTGAGTATCTCAGGTGCATCTAAGTTCTTTTTCAGCATGTTTTACAGTATGATTAGTCAGTGCTCAGACAAAAGTAGAAGGCTTATACATCCTTTGATTTATTAGCAGCATGAAATTCATATGCCTCTAAATGTCCTAGAGGTAAAAAAACTGTACTAATCACATTCCCAGTTGACTGATTCTTGTATGTATTCCTGATATAACTCACTAGCTTCAACAATTCTTTGCAAATTTCATGAAATAGAATAAACAGTCTGCCTTGTTGGTGAGCTGTTTGTGAAACTCTCACATTTTCAATCTGGCAGATAATCGCTTATATAACATAGCTGCTACCAAGCTTGTCAGATGTCAGTAACTGGTAGAAATGTGTGACATTTAAGTTAGGCAATCTGTTGCCTTGAGTGAATGAAAAGCCACTCCTTCTAACACTGCAAATTGAAAAAGCAGAAATGTTTTGCTGTAGCTAAATTGACTTGCTACTGATGACAAGTCCTAGCATTCAAGGGAAAACTAAAATAAGCCTAGAGGCATGAGGCAGAGGCCACTTTGGCCACTGTGGGATCATTTCTGAGAAGAATGGGCACAGTGTTCACGTTAGTCATGTCCCAAAAACTGTTCACTTTCTGTCACCAGGCAAATGTTGAAAGCATGTGAGCATGCTGAAACAAACACAGGTGGGTTTGTGCAAGATGTCATGCCAGATCTCTGCTCTTCCCAGGAAGCTCAAACACCGTAAGCACATCTAAGACAACCTGCAACCTGGATCATACATGTTGCTTATTTTTCTCATCTGGGACTTGTCCAGAGAGAACTAGTGTAATTGTTTTAATGCAACCCTAGCAAACCTTTCCACTTTCCATGTTGTCTGTGCTGTGCTTCCATCACATTTTTATTTACAATATGTGTGTAGTGATCACATCTCTCAGCACTGCAATGAATCTGGGCCTGGAATGATGATAAACAGATGTTCACCAGCCTGTGGCTAGAACATTTTTAGGTAACGAAGTGCTCGATCACTCTCAGATGATGCTAAATACAATTCTGATGGCAGGGAACTTGGGGTGAAATGTTTTTCTTCCCTACAACTGTGCACTTAGCTACAAGCAATAATGTCAGATTTTTAATTTTTTTTTTTTAAGAGATCATTAACCTGCAATCAATGTGCCCTTTAAATTGTTCTTTATTGGGACTCTCAGCCATTACATTATTTGATTCCACGAGGGAACTTTGATTAAAATCTCTTTGGGGAAGAATATACATTTCTGAACTCACAAAATCAATTGTTCTCTGCTTAGTAAACTGTATGAAAGAAAATATTTGCAGTATCTTTGCTTTCACCACTTACATATGAAAAATAACTACTCATTGTTTTAATTACTTTTTAGATGGCTAAAAATAGTGACTTCTTTTAAATCCAGTTAAGTTTTTGCCATAAAAACCTGAGCCTGTCTTCTGAGAGTAGTTATTCTTTCAGGTATCCACATCAATTTGAGACTGAAAGTCCAATTTAAAACTGATTTTAGGTGGCCAAAAATATGAATAGGCACCTAATCACTTTTATTCTATATGGCCTATAGTAAGAAACACATCATTAAATGTTGATAGGTGTCTAATCAAAGTTGGACATCTAGATTCCCCCTGGGATTGACAGTGAAGGTAAATACCTCTGAAGGTTACACTGTCCTACCTGCTGAAGAACAGGCTGAATCAATCACTAGAATGTTTTTTCTTGAACAGCATGAGAAATTTTTGATGCACAAACTTCTAAAATAAAAGATGATTCTTCTTCCTAATGTCTTTATGTCAAGATCTACTTCTGAAGAGCATGTTCAGGCACTCTCTGTGTCTCCAGGAATCAAAATACTTTTGAAAGCTTTCTGTAAGGCAAATTAAATTTCTAATTCTTGTCCGGAGGTTCAATTATGCCCCAAGAACTTTGAAGTTTCAAGTGCTTTTTGAAATTATGTCTGTGGGGCAGATGTGTTCTTGGAATTCTTTTAGCATTATTTGTTATGATTAGGTCTATTCTAGAAGTGAAGTAGACCATGGACTAATGGGGCAGTTGGGAGAACTAAAGTTACTTATCTTTGAATGTTGCCACATTGCTCTATGACATGTAGGTTTGTCTGCAGGGGAAGGTGTTACTTAAGGAAATTTAGTCAAGTCACATTAATTTCCTCCCAAACTAGTTTGTTAACAAACTTAGAATCGAAGACAAGATGAAAATAATAAAAGAGACATACCAGAGGAATCTGAAAACAAATGGTCTGCTGTTTATTGTGGGTCTAAATAACTTCAGAAAGATTACTTCACTTGTCTCTAAAATTCAAATACCCACTGCATAAGACTTTACGTTGTTCCACAGGAAGTATGTTTTACCACTGGATCAAGACACATCTGTGTGTTGTAAAACAATGTTTTAAATGATGTAAGCTTACAATAAACAGCATAAGAAAAAAAAAAAAAAAGATAATTTTCTTTTCAGTTTATCTTTTTTGATGCTGACAAGTTTTCACCAGTATAACACTTTTTTCTCTGAATTTTTTGAGCTCTGCTTTAAAGTTCATGTCAGTTTAGGAGGGGAAAAGGGGAAACATAAATGAAGCAGAAATTCAGAAATTCATTTGGGACACCCATAACAGAGCTATCAGCATAGACTACGATTTATATAGATGAATATGTAAAGAAAGGTATGATCTGCAGTTTGTATAATCTCCTGAGGGGATTGTTGCATTCTCTAGGTTTATTAAGCCTGAGAACTCTTTTCTACCTCAAGGGGGCACAGAAGAATTGTCATTTAATCTACTTTCAAGGTGAAATAATATTAGGCTTTCCAACAGTGTAGCTCAAGTAACATTTAAGATTCCCCTAATTACATCACGCTGTCCTTAACACAGAGCTTGCCAAGCCTACACGAGAAACAGTTGAATGGATGGAGAGACCCTGCCAGGGTGAGAGCAATGAATTCAGTTCCTGTATTCACCATGCTGCTTCTTCATTCCTTGTGGCAACACTCCAAGGGAAAAGGGAGACTTGATGTTTTGCCTATCTCGTTCAGCCTCCTCATCCTCATCATATCTTTCATCCTCATCTTCATTTTCACCTTCACTATTGTGAGGGCTGGAATGCTGAGAGACAGAAGGTGATGGTGGCACTGATGAAGGCCTTGGGTACCTGAAACCTTCCGTCTGGCAGAGAGAGAAGCAAATTGTATATGTTATCATAGTGTGCCTCAATTAGTTGCATACAGCAATTTAAGGCTATCAACACTTCAAAGGAAACCAATGGTGGGATGTAAGCTCGACATGCTCTGCACTCCAAAATTAAACTCCCTGAACCCAGATCCCCTCAGACCTTCTCTGTCAGTAAGTACACGCTTGTATGCTACTGATCTTTAGCCTGTACTATAAACAATATGCTGCCCTTCCAGCACTGTTTTTGCAAAATATGACTATTTTTATTGAGACTTAAAACTGTAAACACAACATGAAATTCTATCATTCTGTACTCAGAATATGCTTACTGAAATTCATAATTCAGTCTGAAGTTTTAAAACAGTTTTCTAATTATAATGTCAGTATCTGCAAAATCAGAACCAAGCAAAGGGTTTTGGTCTGAGCCTCCTTTCTTACTATTATTTTTGAAAAAATGAGTTGCTTCCTGGAGGTGTCCGGAGGTTTGGTTTTAAATAACATTGTTCTACCACTGGATCCGAGAAGCCTCCCTTCTCAAACTGATGCTAATATGCACTGTGGAAGAACTGTTTGAAGGCGTGCCTTTAAACTGACCCCTGGTAGTTCCAGCCACAGCCTCCATCCATGTTTTTAGATGAAGGCAATGCTTTGCCTCACTTTACCTGGAACATCCCTTCTCAGCTCCCCTTCTATTTGGTTTGTGCAGAACATCTCCATGGCACTTACCAGAAGCAAAATTAGAAGTTGCCACTCTTCTAACAGTAACTTCAAGGCTGGTCTCAAGTGGCACAGTCCCATCCAGGTCACTCTAAATCACCTGAATTCCCATACTGCACCTGGTACTTCTAGTGTTTGCATCTGATACTATTACAACTCCTGACTGGACCTTTGGTCTGTAACTTATTGAGCTTTTAACCATGAGTTCCTACTTCCCTTCAGTTAAAGCAAAACTTAGGAACTCTCTTCTCACTCTTTCTGTCACAGACACACACAATCTTTCTCTCTTTGTAAAGCAGCTAAAGTGTAGATGAAGGCATCTCCAAAGGAAGACTTTACCTTTGGTGGAGCACTTGGTTCCATCTCAAATTTATCTGGGAATGTTCTGCTGAGGGCCAAGTGTCTGGCATGCATGTAATACTGCAACATAAAAGATAAGCATTTACAAGTCAGGGAAGTCTTGGGTGGATTTAAGCAGGAAAAAAAAGGAACATAAAATGTGTATCTTCTAAAAGATCATGCTGAACAAGTTTTCAGCTAAGAAGAATCCAACAGATACTTCTGCTTGTAATGAACGCATCGCTGTGAAGTAGTGAGCCATTCATGTTAGATTCCACACTGAATTACAGTCTGGAACAGAAGCTGAATAAGGATTCTGTAAGACTAAAATGAATTAAGATGGAAAACAGCTCTTGTCTCAGTCAATGTAGTTCTTATTGAATGACTGGTATTCTTTACCCCTCAAGATAGATCTGGCTCTTTTTTAACCAGGAAAATTTATATCTTTAAGTGTGCATGTGTATACACATAAACTTTGGACTTATCCTTGCATAAGAAGCATGTGTAACAGTTACAGAGAAGTAACATGAGTTTGCTGAGGCCTGGTATTTAAGAATTTGGCAAAAATATTTAGGGATCGACTATGTTCATGAGTCTGCATCACATGCACGGAAAAAATTTTGTTGTGTCAGGGTCTTATGCTGTGTTGGGAACCTTATAAAGGTTCTCACGCAGATATCAGAGCAGGACAAGGTCCAAACCAGTTACAGAACTGACATCCACTTCTTTGCTCCTCTGGACTTGAGAATACTGAATTGCTACTCTCTTCTTAGGAGGTGGTACTGCAGTCAAATTAAAACTATGTCAAATTAAAACCATTATCTTGCCTTTAAGGCACAGAGATAGTTTAGGAGTGTTGTGGAGCCACAAGGCCCAGCAGCATTTTAGGAAGAACAGGTAGGATTTTTGAAAGACTCCAGATGACTTTGGAGCACAAATCCTACTTAGTGGAGGGTTGCCAGCGTTGACAGAGACACAAGCTTTTCCCATTGTTTTCAGCACCAGGAGTACAAAGACCTCACTCTGATTGGCTTCTGCTCTAACATACTAAGTAATATTTCACCTTACCATTGGAAAATGGAAGCATTACACTGAGATGTAAAGGTAGGTTTTGCCTTTAGCAACTTTGAGAGGTGCATTTCAGAACAGGGATGTCTCATTGCACTGTAGCATGATGCTAAAGACTGATAGTTAGACCTATGTGTCTGGAGTTTTTAATACTTCTATTACATAGTTTCACACACCCTGCCTAGGTATCTCCAATCCAACAGATCTGAGAGCCTTTCAGTTCGATTTCTCTGGATGATCCTCTGGCGCCGGGACTGCTGACAAAATCCATATAGGAACTGAGTCAGCTGGTTGCATGATTCATCAGGTGAGCGGAACCTCCTGTCAACTATGTAGATGCCTGGAAGACACAATATAGCTGAAGATGAGTGGAATTGAAAGTGGGATCTGACCTCTTACATTTACATTCTACCTTCTGTCACACAGTCTTACAAACATTACATGTATTTTATGTTCTTTTTAATGTTAGAAGGCAACTATATACAGAGGTTTCATTTTAATTTTCTTTACTGTTCAGGCTGAAATTCAGCAAGCAACTCAAGAGGCTTTGTTGTTGTTGTTGTTGTGTAAGTATGTCCAAAAGGATTCAAGAGTATCTGGATAAAGATGTATAATTTTTATCTCCCATAATTTTTAAAATACTGACTTCTTTAAAAAAAATAATCTAGTGTTTTCCTAGTTTGTAGTAGAATTTATATGTGTGGATGGTCATAGGAGACCATCCTATAGGAGAGAGGCTGTGTTTTCTGTAGAAATACAAGTGGCTCCAAAGAGACAGCTAGCTCACATACATTAGTTGATATACAATTCTGGTAGAGAGAGGGCTGAGGTAAACTTTGCTTCTGTGTAGTTTGTCGAGATCAGTCCTTTATTCGCACCACCTTCCTTACACCAGGGTGTTGGGAAGAAGAGGGTACTAGACCTCAGCTGTTCTAATGGACAAGACAGACACACAACTACCTTAAATGAAGTGCACGGTGTCGCCTAGGAATGTACAGTAAGCCATGTCAATGCTCACATCTATGTTTTGCCAGAGAAGAGCAAATGACCTGTGCTCTCAGTCTGTGACCTTTCTAAAAGGTCTCAAAGACATGTCTACTCAGGAAGGCATAGCTGTATTTTTCAATAGGCTCTACCCCTGCCCCTAGGTCAGGGCATAGTTGATACTACCATGCAGCTCTCATTGCCTGATTGTGTAGACAAGCCAAGATACTTGGAAAGAGGCTCCAGTTTTGGTACATTTTCAATATTGTCTTAACACACCAGGAGCTGGCTACCCTCCTCTTCACCACACTCCAATCACAAACCATTTCTAAACCTTTATGAGCAGATACTTATTTGTAAGTAGGTTCCTTTTACTTTCACAGATTAATTTTTAGTGTACATGAAAATTTACTCTTTGTTTGGTGGGGGCAAGTTTTACTGGCCTCGAAGGCCCAGTGCATCCTTCTTGGACTATTCAAAGAGAAGCAGTTTTTCACTCTTCTTTTGAAGGGCCCAGAGCAATACAGGGTAACCAAAGGCATTAAAGGGAAGTGCTGGGAGACTTAAAGCAGTACAGGGAGTGCTGAGTTTAAATGGATGAAGAAGAAAAAAGGTTAAAAGGGGAGAAATGAGAGAGAATCAGGTAAGGGTTTGGATAAATAGGAAAGCTTTAATGGCTTGTATAACATAACAAAGCATTCAGAGCTCTGAATATATTCCCCAGTAAACTCCATTGCACTAGTGAAAGCACGAAATTAAGGAGTAACAGCATCGTTGCTGTGCTTTTTTCTTTCCTAAATCAGAGGTGGTATTTTGATAAAATGTTAAAAATTTTACCATAAGCCGCTGGGTCAGCAACATGTTCCTGCATGAAACAGCCGAATCCAGAAAGGTTTGTGGTTACACTGGGAATGCCCATCACAGTACATTCAGCTAGCAAAAGAAACAGACAAAAAGCATTTCAGGGAAAAATGCTTTGAATGGTTACACTGAGAGAGGGGGGGAGGGGGGGGAGAGCGAAAGAGAGCGAGAGAAAGAGCGAGAGAAAGAGCGAGAAAGAGCGAGAAAGAGCGAGAAAGAGCGAGAAAGAGCGAGAAAGAGCGAGAAAGAGAGAGAGAGAGAAAGCTGTCTCT